CAAAATTGAAAAAAGTGAAGGGGGTCTGAATACTTTCCGAATACACTGTATATGAAGAGCTCTACATACTTTAATATGCTACTAACCAAGATGTGCTGTGCTCTTTCATTCCCAACAGATGTGCATGTGTCACACTGACTCACAAACTACCCAACCACATTCTAATTTAGCATGTTGTAAAAGCCCAGTCCATGTACGTAGTTAGGGTTCAGTGTGGTGTGCAAGTTGAGAAATTGGGTTAAATGAATAAACCAAATGTAATAATGGCTAGGTATATCATGAGAGGCAGCCAGTTTGGTGTAGTGGTTAAGGCACTAGGCTAGAAATCAAGAGATCATGAGTTCGTCCTGCTTTGGGCACAAAACCAACTGGGTGACTTTGGACCAGTCCCTCTTTCTCAGCTCTAGGAAGAAGGCAAGGCAAACTACTTCTGAAAATCTTACCAAGGAAATGGCAGGGACTAGTCCAGGGAATTGCCAGGAGTCCATACTGACTCAAAGGTACCAAAAAGAAAAAGTCATGAGAACACAGCCAGTGAGGATCTTAAACAGCTTTTCTGAGTTTTCAGTGAGGACATGATATTCTCAATATCTGCAAAATGTTGGCTGCAAACTGAAAAAGACAAAATATCCCCCAAATTGAGGGTGCAGGTAAGGATGTTAAAATTAAACAGCCTTCTAAAAAAAAAATGTTTGAGCAGTACACGAACAGAAAACACACCACAGTCTAGTTAGGCTTTTCCACACTGCAGCCTTCAGTGCATAAACAATTTGAAAATGAAGCTGGCTAAAAGAAATCTTTTTCAGGATTTCAACCCATTTTGACCCCAATGGTGACCAGATGTTCTATCTGGACTGCAGTTAAAGCAGCCCCAAATTGGTGGATTGCCCTGCTTCTTTCCACCTCCCACTCATGCCAGGAAAGCAAGCATCAATTGCCTTCTGTTCTGTGGGCAGGTTTTTGAGAACTGGTAAAAAAAGAAAAGGAAAAAAAGACAGCCATTTTACAGTTTTTCCTATCACTCCAAGCAGTCATGGATTACTATCTGCTTCATCATATATGTGAGAGGAATATTAGATACTATATATGTGCTCCATCAAATATTCTTTGCTTTATTTGCAAATGGTAAAAATGAGCAGTAGTATGTGATTTCTGGGGATCACAAAAAAGAGGGTGAAAAGGTGCCCCACACTGCTTGGCTTGTCAGATCCTCTCTGAGAATAGCACCACCACTTAAATTTTACTTAAAGCCTGCTGAAGGTAATCTTGCATCACCCAAAGGCCCCTTTCTGCAGGAAATAGCAGTGGTGGCAACAGCCATTCCACACAGAGAAATATGATCCTGGCAGTGATTGTAACAGAGACACACACACACACATGCATATACAGAAAGAGAGGGTTGGGGAATTCAACTTTGTAAATTCCAAGTCAAAACTTCTTCCTGGAGAACATGTTATTTCCAAGATGCAGGGATTCTTTGATATAGTGTCCCTACTGATTTCCTTTAAACTGAAAAATCTATAAAACTCACATCTTTAGGGGTGGCTTTTATAAAGTAGAATAGCGGGACTCTTAGAACAACAGGCCTTTCACCAAATGTCTGACTGGGAGTTTTCGGACTAAAGCAATGGATACAAATAAGACTAATTCAACAACTTGCAAGAGTTAGACTGAAACATGAGTAAGAAGGATCATTGTTAGTTTGGTCTGTTGAAATTGCCAAGCAGTTTCTTCATTGCAAAAGAATTGGAAAAGGGAGGTGTTTATACTTCTGGAAGCAGCATAGGATGTTCAGAGTGGGAACCATTTGCCAGATCCAATAAAGCTAGTACCTCCTTCTTATTAAGAAAACAAGGGCTCTTTTCCTGGAGAATGAACAATTCTGAGAGGGTGTAACTGTTAATAATTATGATTTGAATAACTGTGCTTTGTGAGAATGTCAACAAAAGAAAAGACCTTTTGAAGACCCAATGTTTTTGAATTATGCCACTGTAAAGAGATTTGTGTTTTTTTTTTAAAGGATGTTTAATTAAAACCTTGAAAAATATATAGCCTTTACTCCACCACAGAGGTTTGCAAACATTTGCACAAAGTATTACAAAGTGGGTTTCAAAGGGACTGTGAGTTACAACTGCTACCCTCCACTCCTTCTGCCAGCAGAAAACTATATTGACATAAAAATCTGCTCCCCCACTGGCAATCCCTATATTGCCACAGGTACAATGCCAGCAAATTATTCTGTCCTTACAGTGTACAGGTTATGTACACATAGACAGCAACTGGTAGATTTCCCCAGCTTTGTTTCCTTCTCCTTTCTCTAAATGTCACCAGCCACCAGGAAAACATCCATTAACCTCTCTCCTTAATGTGGGCTGGAGCAGAAGTGAGTTTTGATAGCTAGTGAGACTGACAGTTTAGTCATCTGACAAAATTTGTTCTTGGTTTTGCCCATTTTTTTGCATTTCAGCTGGTATTAGGCTACTTTTGGACATAGATTTCATACTATTCCAAAACAATATTAAATCTGCATTTAAGGCCAACCAGCAGCTGGTGGGCGCAGGAGAGTATGGCTGTGTCTCCCATTTACTATGCAGCCACACCTTGTCACCACTGCTGGTCCACTATGGTAGGTATGGGGGGGAGGGGGCAGGCAGGCTGCATGGTGAAATGAGAAAGAAAGCCAGAACTCTCCTGTACAACTCTCCCTGTATCTGTACCTATACCTGGTGGTTACAAGGGACAGCCTGTTTTGAAAGAACTAGAGTCTCCTACTACAAAAAAGAGAATGGCTCTGGAATACAGAGACCAGTGGGGAGGGAGCATACCTGTCCCAGCTTAAATCTGGGGTCAGATGAAGGCAGCTTCATAAGGATACAGCAAAAAAAGAAGTTGCCGAGCGATGTCAGTATTAGAGTTAGATGCAAGTGAGGAAAGCTTCATGAATAAGTGGAAATTAAAAACTTGCAATTATAGCTTGTTAATTCAAATTAGCATTCAGAATCTGTCCTTGCTATACTCCTTTCACATTCCCTGTGCCATTGTCTCACTGAAGTTAAGAAAATGGAAGCTACTTTGTGTTCTGTCTAACAGTATAGTCATATCCTTTTTTAATTATTTTATGCAAAATCATTTTGTTTTAATCTTATTTCATATTTACTTATTTGCTTAGGTGCTAGTTCCTTATTTTCTGCATATAGCAGTAATATGGGGAATTTCTGTCCCTTATGAAATTGAATTTTCCCAAAACAAGCTCTTTAGAGCTATGTTAGGTGTGCCTAAGGGTACACGTATTTCCTTTTTGCATGTAGAAACTGGCACGTACCCAATTAAAGCCAACATAATTGTTAAAGTGCTTAATTATTAGGTTAGGCTTTAATTAGGATTCTCAATTTGTCAAGCTGTGTCTTTTGAAGCAAATGAAATTTCCTACTTCATCATGCAATTGTTGGTTTACGTTTTTAACCAATCATATGCATATCTTCGACTCTCCACCAAAATTCTTTCTGAATTCAAATAACGCATATGATAATCAGCTATTTAAAAACAGAATTCTGGACGTTTTCAAAGGAATTGTTCTTAAGTTTTACATAGTAACATCACCCCTTGGCATGCACTTAATAAAACCAGCTGACTATGAGTACTATTTAAGGTGTATAACAGAGCCATCCCTTATAGAGGTCCTCACCAGAATAGTTTAAACAAATGATAAATTCCTTAAAATACCATATAGTACAGGTAGTGCTCATTCAGCGACCACAATTGGGACCAGCAACTCGGTTGTTAAGCAAAGTGACCGCTAAGTGAAACCATGACTGTGCTTGTGATCTTACTTCAGCTTTCCTTTGCTTTATAGACTTGCAAAGATCGTAAATGTCAGGATTGGTCACAAAGTTACTTTTTCATCACCATTGTAACTGCATACGGTTGCTGTCTGAAGCAGTCACTAAACGAGGACTACCTGTGTTTGTGCCCATGTTCAAATAAAACTATAGGACACCTTTCATATTATTTATTGCACTGCCCTACTTCTGCCCATGGAAAATTGTGGAAACAATTTTGGCCCAATTCACTCAAAATTTAATGTTTAATTAATTCAGACAGGGGGGCTTTATTATGGAGGCTGGCAAGCTTTGCTCGAGCAACTAAACCAAGAAATGATTTTATTAAAATTATTGACCTTTTACTTTTATAATTAATGTAGCAGTAATGCTCTGTAAGTTTTAGTTAATTTTATGTATTCTAATGTATTTTAATTTTGGTTGATTACCTTTTTACTTAACTCTCATACTGTTTATTGTAACCTGTGGTTGAAACAATAAATAGATGGAACTGAATATCTGCTTAGGCTTCCATACTGTTCCAATCAACTCTGAGCAGATTAGTGTTTTTCCTCACAGTAATGAACTACTGCATATAAATCCTAACAATCTAATTGGTAAAACAAGCCCTAAAAATCCTCATAACAAGCATCCATTGTCACCATAATATATCCTGCTGTTTCTTCCATCTCAGGAGCAGATAATCACAGTCCCTTTCTATCCCTGTGCAAGAGCCAGGTCCTTACAGTCCTCCAAAACATTAAGAGACAGAGCCTATCTTACCTCTGGGATGAAGCTGCTCTAGAGGAAGAGACATATGGACGAGATTCCTTCACAATTTCAGTACTTTTGCCTGCTGTAGCCTAAAAGTGTCTGCTGAGGTGTAGTGTTATTCCTTAGAATTCAGCAACTGTTAGTTAAGCATTTTTTGGACTCTCCTAAAAACTACCTGAACTATTTTTGCTCCACACTGGTATGACAAACTGAAATATCAACAAGCCGGTCACATTTTAGGCTTGTCACTTATGGAAACTCAGGCCATATGGTTTGTTTATGGTTGTGTATGTCATGCAAACTCAGAATTGGATTAACTGAGCGTGTCATGGGAACAGTCTGTCAAAGTGATTCTTAGGCAAAGTGTCTGATTGCACTGTGGTGACCCGTTTGCAATTATTCTTCTATGAAAGGAGCTACTTAGTTCTGTTGTACTTTTGGCTTTTAGCCCAGTTCGCAGACCGGACAAGGGTAATCCTAGCTGACAATTCGTCTAAGCCCCTTAGCGGCCTTTGATTCTAACAACCATTATCTTTTTCTGGGTCATCTGGCAGGAGCCGTCCGAAGCAGCATGACGCAGGTGGTCGCCATTGGCGAGGATCTGTCCCAGAGGATACCGTTTCGCAGATCATGCGTGCTTGAGCGAAGGGCAGGCTCTGGGGCACCTCCAGCGAGCCCGTTCTCCTTCCTCCAGACGCGGGCCATCTCCCTCACCACCACGATACATTTGTTCCTCGCAACCACCCGGCAGGGGTGTCAGAGGCATTCGAACCCGTGCCCGCGCGCGCCCCCCCGGCTCCCGTTGCGCCGCGCCAGGCCCGCCCGAGCGGCGCGCGCTCCAGGAGCTCCGCAGGCGATGCTGCTTGGGCCCGGGCCATGTGCCCCCCGGAGATCTTTCGCAACCTGGTCCGGAGGCGCCCGGGGGGGCTGCTGAAGGCGGCGGCAGGGGACGAGCGAAAGGGCGGCGGGCACCACGCCTGGCGGGCCCGCGTCTGTCCCTTCTCGGTGGGGATGTCCCGAGGCGGCGGCGTGGCTTCCTCCTCGTCTGCCCATGGCCGCAAGTCGGAGCAGCACCGCGGGGTCTTTTCCGAGGACCAGTTCCGGGCCATCGGCCAGGAGCTGGCCAGCTCGGGCGGGCCCCCCGACGGGTCCTGGCAGCTCCTCAGCGACGCCGAAGGCGTCTGCATCTACCGGCTGTACGACGAGGTGCGAGGCGAGGGCCTTATTTATTTATTTGCTTATTCAGTTCAGTTTATTCAATTCAACCTCAATTATGCTGTACTGTGGCATTATTACCATAGAAACCGAAACCCGAAATGTTCCGGGGGAGGGCGCTTACCTCAGAGTTCATTAGAATATTGCCCACCTAGTTGGCAGCATTTGGCGGAGCTTGGCTGATTTCAAAAAGAATGGGAAGGCTTCGATGGGAGGCCGGCCGGAAATCAAAAACAGGGGAGCAAGGGGAAATCACTTCTGCACCATCCCGGAGAAGCCAGAATGGATGCGTCCATGTAATCTCCAGCAATCAAGCTAATTTTACAAAAGACCTTACCTTTAATTATGTTTTAACCCCACCTCTTTTCTCCAAGGAGTTCAGGAAGGCTTGCAGTGTGGCTTCCCACCTGTTATCCTCACAGCAACCCTGCGAGGAAGTTCAGTGGAAAGAAGCAGACTATAACTCAAAACCTTCCTGTAAAAGCTTGGGTGGTTGCGGAGGTTTGAACCTTGGCACTCCCTTATCAATCTCCCACATTTTAACCACTTTACCCATGAGCAAAACCAGGGAGAGAATAGGACTGTCAGGTGTCTTCCACAAAAGACATGGTGGTATAGTTTTTTAATCTGAAAGCTTCAGTCTGTCAATTTTTTAGCCATCTTTTTTGGGAGGAAGAAACAATTATGAAATACCTGGGCATACACAAAATGTCCCTATCACAAACTATGAAGACTGGCAAAATCAAATCAAAGGTTATTCAAGTCCAGTACTGTTTCCAATAGTCACCAGCTAGGAGCCTTCAGAAAATCTTGAACATAACAGTAAAGAGCCAGTTTTCTGTATTTCTTTGCTGCCATCCAGTTGTCCAGATGTTTGCAGCCTAGATAGAGTAGCCCTAGCATTTAGAAGTATGCTTTTAAGGTGAAGGTTCCGTTTAGTTGTGATGAGTAATAGTTATTGATGGATTTGGCCTATTAGGGGAACTAACATAGAAGATAGGAAGGTTAACAAAAAGAATAGGCCTATGTTTATTTCTACAGGTTGAGCCACTATGACTGGCGCTTTGTAAACGGCTGTCGCTAAGTTTCTCATAAATAAATAGGAACAGAATATTTACAAAGGTATTTATTTATGGATTTTTATTGGCAAGTGCCCAAAGAGACACCTTCATTTTTCATGAACATTCTGCTTCTGTCATCCTGTCCTTCAGGACTTGGGATCCCATGATCCTGCAGCTTTTATTTTCTTTCATTCTTCCATTTCCCAAATGTGAGATGAGATGAAAGTGAGAGCTAACAGTTGGAGTTTATCTTACTTAACCATGGGGATATGCAATAGTTTTCAGTTTTCTGTTAGGGAAATTCACTAGGACAAAGTTGGAGAAGTTGTAGGATGCAGATCCAGCTCTTATTGCGAGGCCTGGCTTTTCTGCAGCATCCTTGAGCTGGTCAGGGCAGCATGCTTGGAGTATAGGTAGAGGCAGAATTTTTTCCTACTCTCCTTTCTTATGCAGTTTGCATCTTTGTAAATAAAGCTTTTGCTCCCCTCTTCTTCATATTCTATAGAGCTTGCTGAAAGAATACAAAGAGTGATATGGTTTGGGAATTAAAAATAATTATTTCTCCAAAGCCCGGTTGTTCTCTTACATTTTAGAAAAGTTGTTCTTATTGCACATTTGTTTTTCTAGGAGAAAAAAACCTACATTATATGCTTTTCACAACCATTGTCAGCTCCTGAGATCTAAAAGGCCTAGATAGGACTTTAAACTATTTTCTCCAATATATTGTCAAATAAAATAGCATGTCCTCATCTTAGGTTTTTTTAACTTAAACTTTATTTTTTTTTTCATAGATATACCCAGTGAGTGCCCCTACATTTATTTAGGAGGTATGAACACCATATTTCTATCTCCCCTTCCTGATTCCCTCAGCTCAAGAAGATTTTCTGTAGTGCTCTGGTACAGTCTAGTCCTGTCCATGTTTGTTCATATTCAGGGTGGCTTATTTCTTAGTAAGGATGTCTCGGATTGCAGTCTGATTCATTCTTTTGTATGCTGACTCCAGTAAGATGTGGATGTCAGTAAATATTTTTATTGTTTACCCTACAACTATGGAACTCCTCTCTGTTGACTTGCCATATTGCTGCCAAGAAAATTATGTGGATGTGTCCATCTACTCATGAGGAGTCCCAGTCTTGTGTTGAAGTGCAAATATAGAACACAATCTGAAATCAGCACCTCAATACTTCATTCATCTATTAATTGCCAGCTTTAAACTTAGCTTAGAATTGATATTCCTTCTGGTGCCTTTCCCAAACATTCAGTTTTTTCAAAAATCTGGCCAGGAGCCTTTTTATCCATTGATTGGTCTTTATCCTTTCCTTTCCCTGGTCAAGATCCAGCATTCTAGCCATTAATCTAGTCTAGTAGGTTAATCTGGTTACCATTAGCATTTGTCAAGAGTCTGATATGCAAATTTAGAATGATCTTGTAAAATTATTAGTATTTCATGCTTTCAAGTACGTATTCCACCACGTGTGCATGCACACAATTATGTCAAGTTTATGAGCTAAACTAACAGCTGGACAAAAGCCAGACTGATCATCAAAAGCACAACCAGATGTAAAAGACATGCTGCTGATTGCATAGTCTTTCTTATTACTGAATCCAGATGAAGAATATAATACACATGGAGTTTATGTGACAGAATGTGTATCTATAGCAAATGATGCTGTGTGATAGGAATGATCCCCCTCCCCAATCAAAACCAGTACAACGTTTAAACTAAGAAATTCTAGTTGTCTGAAAACAATTATATCTTCTTACATTTGAGAGGCAAGCTACAATTCCACATGGAGCAATCACTCGGGTGACTGGTGACTATCCACAGTTTGATACATTTGCAGCTTCAGCCCATGTTCACATCAATCATGTGTTTATGAGATAGCCAGACTTGGTACCTAATCACTGCTGAGAATGGCTTAACAGCAACTACAGGATGGTGGCAGGTTACAGTCAGGCCACTTGGCATCATTAACGAAGACAACAATGTCAGACTTTGCTATAATGTGCTTTATATAGAAGTGGATCAACACTTTCTGAATTAATTTCATTTTCATGTGGTATTGGTAAATTTGAGGACATTTCTCACTCCCCCCAGTACAGATTTGAAGAGGCTTCTACTTTGGGATAGATAACTGGCCAACTAAGCAGGGCATTCTGCCTTGAAACATTGAAGTTTTGCTGCTCTACTGGCCAAGAGCAAAATGTTGTGGTCAGAGCTAGTGTAATTAAACCAGCTGCCAGAGAAGTCTGGAAGGGAACCCACTGCAGGCAGGAAGCCCAATTCTCCACCAACAAGTGCTATCATAATCGGGACGTGTGCGGATGGAATGCTGGAAGGCCTGGTTGTTTCAGTGTGTGTGCTTTGTTGCTCCCTAAGAGACATACAACAATTTTGATAATTGAGTTTACAAGTAAAGGATTTTAAATGGTAAGTTACCCTACTGGTAAGATCATGCCATCTGTTCAGTCAGTGTTGACCCCAATCAAGAATAATTTCCCAGGGGACTTAAAACAGTCTGTGTTTAAATTGCTTTGCTGTGTGAATTATGTATTGGTCAGAATTCTCACACAGTTAACAAATGAGTCTTTTTCATTTTTTCTTCCAAAATAAACACTAATCACATATTCATAAAAAGTTAAAATTCTCAGGTCAAATCATATTAGTGTGAATGTTAGGAGCTTGAAATACCATTTCAAGGAGAAAAGTTAGGATGTCTCACAACTTAACTAATTTGCCATTAGAAAATATCTACAAGCTTCTAAAATCAAAAGGAGATGCCAATAATATAATAAATAAATCACTTAAAATTCATGGTGGAATCCATCTGATAATTTGCAGTTACACTCAGAAGTATAGGTTGTATCTATTGTTATACAAAGTATTTTCAAATTGGTATTTAGTTTAAATTGGAATTATTTGCTAATTTTCTGGCAAATACTTTTTTCACTAATTTGGCATATAGATGTGTATGACTAGCAATCTATGGTGTCTTGTTTTGGATTAGCACCTTTATGCATTCTAAGGAGTATTGCCTAGAAAGAACATTGTTTAAAGTTTGTTATATACCATATAAAATAACTCTGAGAAATGGGGCAAAAAAGTTCAGTATGATTAATGTTAATGCTCCTTATCCTTCCTAAAAATATTGGAGGCCCTTTCCCTTCTCCCAAGACCCTAATTAGGAAGCTATTTCCTAGGAATCTTAATGGTTGCAAAGTGATACTCAGCCACTAGCCCCTGGATTGTGTGTATGTGTGAAAGAGAGGTAGGGAGGGGAAAATAATTAGAAGAAAGAGACAAGCATGATATGACTTCAGTCTGTTAACATACAGTCAGGTCCAGAAATATTGGGACATCGACACAATTCTAACATCTTTGGCTC